ATGGGTGAGGAGAGAAGAGGAGAGTAGATGGGAGGGGAGGGGAGGGAGAGGGGAGGCAGGGGAGGCGAGGGGGGGGAGAGGAGAGGTGAGGGGAGAGAGTGGAGGGAAGGAGAGTGGAGGGAAGGAGAGGGGAGGGGTGGGAGAGGAGAGGAGACGAGAGGAGAGGGGAGGGAGAGGGGAGAGGGGAGGGGGGGGGAGTGGGAAGAGGAGAGGAGAGAGGAGGGAGAGGGAAGGGAGAGGGGAGGGGAGGAAAGGGGAGGGAGAGGAGAGGAGAAGGGAGGAGAGGAGAGGGGAGGAGAGGCGAGGGGAGGGAGAGGAGAGGGGTGGGGATGGAAGGGAAGGGAAAGGGAGAAGGAGAGGGAGAGGAGAGGAGGGGAGAGGAGGGGAAGGAGAGGGGGAGGGGAAGGAGAGGGGAGGGGAGAGGAGGGGTGGGGAGAGGAGAGGGGAGGGGAGAGGAGGGGAGGGAGAGGAGAGGAGAGAGGGGAGGGAGAGGAGAAAGAGGGGAGCGGAGAGGAGAAGGAGAGGAGAGGAGAAGGAGAGGAGAGGGAGAGGAGAGGGGAGAGGAGAGGGGAGGGGAAGGAGAGGGAGAGGAGAGAGGGGAGGAGAGAGGGGAGAGGAGAAGGAGAGGAGAGGAGAAGGGAGGGGAGGGAGAGGGGAGGGAGAGGGGAGGGAGAGGAGAGGAGAGGGGGGGGGGTTGGGTCCCCCCATAATCATTCTTCTCTATAGTCACACCACGCCGGGATCACATGGCAGCAATCTGCAGGTCGATTCCCATCGGTCCTTCACCATGTATAGAAGTCTATATACACCTTTATAGGGCCCTTCATGTATAGAAGTCTATATACACCTTTATAGGGCCCATCATGTATAGCAGTCTATATACACCTTTATAGGGCCCATCATGTATAGAAGTCTATATACACCTTTATAGGGCCCATCATGTATAGAAGTCTATATACACCTTTATAGGGCCCATCATGCATATCATCTACTGGAGAATCTGTAGGGTACAATGTGTGGACTGCCTCCTCTGTCCTTGCTCCTGGTCATTCCTCTTCTGCTCTCTTTCCCTCCAAATGAGGTATTCAGACACAGATGGTCATTAATTAACATCGGAAAAGCCCGGCTTCCTCTGGAAGTGACACCTGGGGGCTAATAAGATTTTGTCTCCTTCTGGGGAAACCGGTTGGAAGGAAACGGCTGGAAACAGATTGTCTCCCTGACATTGGGAGCTTAAAGGTGTCTCCATCCATCAAAGGGGTACGTTTCATCCCTCATAAAAGCTACAATATTAGTGGCAGAGAGATGAACATACTCCCTTCTTGTAGGGCGCTCTGTGCGCCACATCTGCATATAAAAATAATATTTGTGAATTAGGTAGAAGGCCAGGAAAATGCAGGGAATGGTTAGGTGGCGCCGGAGTGCAACAGTTGAATGGTGATTGGTAATGTCGCGATCAGACTGATGCGCTGGTGTTGGAAATCCAATCCCCGACTTGGTGTTTCAAGCCGATCTTAGTCCGATTGAACTTGGGCAGGTCAGCACACAGAACATCCTGTGGGCGGGTACAGGAACACCCCCCAGGGTCAATTGGCTGAGGACTAATGTCCCGCCTACATCCATATCCCCATAAATGGAGTACCCGGACATTGGGACATTTGTGATTTGTATGGAGCTGGGTGATCGACCAACGGATTGCTGATTCTCTGACTTGCTCCAGTCGCAGGATAGATCTCGGTAAAAGTTTTATTTGTTTTATTCCCTTTTATTTTATAGTGAAGTCATTTGTGTGTCTTCTTGTATTTCTGTAACTTTTTATACTTTGTACATATTTTATGCCCCGCCCACTTTTGGGAAATTAAATCTTAAAATGAATTAGTGACTTCTGTGTATTTTAAGCTCGGGCTCATATCTCCGGAGAGATCAGATTGGAGAGATTAGATTGGATTGTATTTTAGTGCCTTTAAACGCTCGGTCAAGCTCATTGCCAATCTGTATGCAATTGCACTGTGTGTGGGCAGATTGTATGCAGATTGTAAAGGTAACAGATCTGTCAGACGGAGATCTGTGTGTGTGGGGTGTCCCAGCAGACCGTTCTGCAGATAAACTGTTGGGTGGTGGCAGGCTACCTTTTGTGGTGTGTCTGGTGTGGGGGGTGTGTGGACAGTGGAAGGGTGATAACACCGGGGTTCAAGCTGTAGGTAGCTGGAGGGACTCTAGAAGGGTGCGATTACTAAGCTGCTCCTCAACTCTAATCAGTGCACCAGATTGTATATAAGATTTGTATCTGCCAGGGTGTGGTCAGCCAGCTGGATTGGAGTGGAGTCTCCCCCCGGTGGTGGGCAGAGGTAGTGCAGGCTGTGGAAGTATATCACGGCAGATCTTATATACAGTTTTATATATTCAACGTTGAGTCCCCTTTATTCCCTCTTACCCCAAGTCACGGCCGCACGTGCGCAACTCGGTTAGCTAGTCGCTGTGGGCGTGGCGTGTGGGGGGAACACATGACAACCCCCCCTCCCTGGGTCTACAATTGTTGGATGGTTGACGGCTGGAACTTATGTTTTTTTAAGACCACCTATACCATGGGGTCTAATTTTCTGGTAAAAGGCCATTGTGATTGGTGGTGTGGTGATCTCACTTGGCAGTGTGATAATATTTGGAAATGGACGTATTATTCAGATGAATGGTGGTGGAACCCTCCTACATTACAACCACATTGATAGTGAACATTTTTGTTTGATATATTGATTCACTTATAAAATGAGTCGCTCTCCAATGCACACAATTGTATGTTTCCTATTGTTCATATTATGATTTGTGATACACTATATAGCCCCAAGTATTGGCCCCGCCCTTCCAATCATGTGATTCTGGTGTCCCTATCCCCTCCATATCATGTGACTCAGGTGCTCCAATTCCCTCCATATCATGTGACTCAGGTGCTCCAATTCCCTCCATATCATGTGACTCAGGTGCTCCAATTCCCTCCATATCATGTGATTCAGGTGTTCCAATCACCTCTATATCATGTGATTCAGGTGTTCCAATCCCCCCATATCATGTGATTCAGGTGTTCCAATCCCCTCCATATCATGTGATTCAGGTGTTCCAATCCCCTTCCAATCATGTGATACAGGTGTTCCAATCCCCCCATATCATGTGATTTAGGTGTTCCAATCCCCTCCATATCATGTGATTCAGCTGTTCCAATCCCCTCCAATCATGTGATTCAGGTGTTCCAATCACCTCTATATCATGTGATTTAGGTGTTCCAATCCCCCCATATCATGTGATTCAGGTATTCCAATCCCCTCCATATCATGTGATTTAGGTGTTCCAATCCCCTTCCAATCATGTGATTTAGGTGTTCCAATCCCCTTCCAATCATGTGATTCAGGTGTTCCAATCCCCCCATATCATGTGATTTAGGTGTTCCAATCCCCTCCATATCATGTGATTCAGCTGTTCCAATCCCCTCCAATCATGTGATTCAGGTGTTCCAATCACCTCTATATCATGTGATTCAGGTGTTCCAATCCCCCCATATCATGTGATTCAGGTGTTCCAATCCCCTCCATATCATGTGATTCAGGTGTTCCAATCCCCTCCCAATCATGTGATTCAGGTGTTCCAATCCCCTCCCAATCATGTGATTCAGGTGTTCCAATCCCCTCCATATCATATGATTCAGGTGTTCCAATCCCCTCCATATCATGTGATTCAGGTGCTCAGTTCCCCTCCAATCATGTGATTCAGGTGTTCCAATCCAATCCATATCATGTGATTCAGATGTTCCAATCCCCTCCATGGACACAGGTGTATACAATCAAGCCCTAGGCATGCAGACTGCTTTTACAAACATTGGTGAAAGAATGGGTCGCTCTCAGGAGCTCAGTGACTCCAAGCGTGGTCCCGTGATAGGTGGCCACCTGGGCAATAAGTCCATCCGTGACATTTCCTGGCTACTAAATATTCCACGCTCAACTGTTAGTGGGATTTATAACAAAGTGGAAGCCACTGGGAACAACAGCCACTCAGCCACCAAGTGGTAGGCCACGTCACATGACAGGGTGGGGTCAGCGCATGCTGAAGCGCACAGTGCGCAGAAGTCACCAACTGTCTGCAGAGTCAATAGCTAAAGACCTCCAAACTTGGTGTGGCCTTCAGATGAGCCCAACAACAGTGTGTAGAGAGCTTCATGGAATGGGTTTCCATGGCCGAGCAGCTGCATCCAAGCCTTCCATCACCAAGTGCAATGCAAAGCGTCGGATGCTGGTGTAAAGCACGCCGCCACTGGACTCTAGAGCAGAGGGGGCGTGTTCTCTGGAGTGACCAATCACACTTCTCTGTCTGGCAATCCGATGGATGTGTCTGGGTTTGGCGGTGGCCAGGAAAACGGTACTTGCCTGACTGCATTGCTCCAAGTGTAAAGTTTGGTGGAGGGGGATTTTGGTGTGGGGTTGTTCCTCAGGGGGTGGGGTTGGCCCCCTAGTTCCAGCGAAGGGAACTCTTAAGGCAACATTTTGGACAATTTCATGCTCCCAACTTTGTGGGAAGAGTTTGGGGATGGTCCTTTCCTGTTCCAACATGACTGCCCACCAGTGCACAAAGCAAGGTATAATATCTCATAGATATATGAGATATTATACTTTGTTGACACCTTGGCCCCTCCTCCCAGCCTGTGACTGCCCAACCCAGAGGGGAGGGTCAAACTTCAGTCCTGGGACATAAATGGAGGAGCGATCACTCTCAGTCCAGTTAGCTCTGATGAAGAAGGCATGGCCTTCGAAACGCGTCAGTTGAACTGAGTGTCTACCCCCGCGTTGGGACTCGCGTTGGCTCCTTATCTTTGGAGTCCCTGTGAGGACTTACATGCCTGATTGTATTCGCTGTTTGTGAGCACCTCTTATTAATACATTTTTGTTTTGTTTATTGAGGTAATGCGCAAGGTCTGTGCGCTTCTCATTTTTGTCCAACCTTCCCATAGACACCCTCCTAAACCTTGTGGACGGCCTTCCCAGAAGAGTTGGAGCTGTTATAGCTGCAAAGGGCGGGGCCAACTCAATATTGAACCCTACGGACTAAGACTGGGGGCCATTAAAGGTCATGTGTGTGGGAAGGGCGGGGCCAACTCAATATTGAACCCTACGGACTAAGACTGGGGGCCATTAAAAGGTCATGTGTGTGGAAGGGCGGGGCCAACTTAATATTGAACCCTACGGACTAAGACTGGGGGGCCATTAAAGGTCATGTGTGTGGGAAAGGGCGGGGCCAACTCAATATTGAACCCTATGGACTAAGACTGGGGGCCATTAAAGGTCATGTGTGTGGGAAGGGCGGGGCCAACTTAATATTGAACCCTACGGACTAAGACTGGGGGCCATTAAAGGTCATGTGTGTGGAAGGGCGGGGCCAACTCAATATTGAACCCTACGGACTAAGACTGGGGGCCATTAAAGGTCATGTGTGTGGGAAGGGCGGAGCCAACTTAATATTGAACCCTACGGACTAAGACTGGGGGGCCATTAAAGGTCATGTGTGTGGGAAGGGCGGGGCCAACTCAATATTGAACCCTACGGACTAAGACTGGGGGCCATTAAAGGTCATGTGTGTGGGAAGGGGCGGGGCCAACTCAATATTGAACCCTACGGACTAAGACTGGGGGCCATTAAAGGTCATGTGTGTGGGAAGGGCGGGGCCAACTCAATATTGAACCCTACGGACTAGACTGGGGGCCATTAAAGGTCATGTGTGTGGGAAGGGCGGGGCCAACTTAATATTAAACCCTACGGACTAAGACTGGGGGCCATTAAAGGTCATGTGTGTGGGAAGGGCGGGGCCAACTCAATATTGAACCCTACGGACTAAGACTGGGGGGCCATTAAAGGTCATGTGTGTGGGAAGGGCGGGGCCAACCCAATATTGAACCCTACGGACTAAAGACTGGGGCCATTAAAGGTCATGTGTGTGGGAAGGGCGGGGCCAACTCAATATTGAACCCTACGGACTAAGACTGGGGGCCATTAAAGGTCATGTGTGTGGGAAAGCCGGCGGCCCGATATATTACAATACAGTGTATCTACATTCCACCTTCCATTGGTATAAAAATATGCAGAGTGCAATGTTCAGCCATTTTTAGGTTTTTGGTATAGGATGGAGGTGTTTTGTAGCACATTCTTATACACATTTTTTAAATTTTATTTTTAGATTTATTGGGGTTTAGAAATGGCTAAACATTGCGCTCTGCATATTTATACCAATGGAAGGTGGAATGTAGCGTCGAGTACGTATATTATTTAGAACCAACCTCCCTAATGTAGGCGGGGCTTTTGCAGCTTCCCCATAGCGCGGTCATTTCCATAATGGACATCAAACCTTCAGCCAACATTTGGAGAATCTCAGTGCTGGTATCTGGGCTACATTATTCATCGAGTTATACGAGTGAAGTTTGGCCGCATCCAGAGCCTCTGTGTGCTAATCTAATGAAGTGACGTGTCCTATATAGCCAATACCTGGGAGCAGAGCTACAGATGGGCGCTACTGGTGCAAACCTGGCCGCGTGGCCCTGGAAGCTTACCCGTGGTCCAGGTATGAGGACTCTCTGTGGAAAGGGTTAACTACGTGAAGGCCAGGAGGATGGGAAGAAGGTCTCAGTCCACCATCCCTGACAATATTGGTATGGGCTGAACAACCTGTGACACCCTGGAACCTGGACTCTTGGGATGAGACCCAGCTGCAAGTGAAGGCCACAGGAAACTGAGCCCGGGACCGCCCACATGTCAGTGAGTGGATGTGCAAAAGATCGGCGCTAGTTCCAAAATGTAACGTGACTAAGTGGCTGACACGATATCCTAATACTGGGATTTATCAGACATTATAAAGCCTTGACCCCTCATGACGTCACATCTGACGAAACACGTTGGGCAGAGCCGGGAGTACATCACCACACATGAGCGCTTTCTTGCAGCCATTTTTGATGAGGGAACAGATCAGAAGTTTGTTTGTAAAGTGCTGGATTTTACCTGGAACTTTGTAAGAGCAAATATTAGTCTAACATCAGGCTTTCAGCTGCGCTTTTATACTATGGAAGCCTTTTTAGGTTTACACATGTGGAACGCAGCAGATGACAGCCCTGATGGATCTGAATGAGTCCTGGTGAGTCCGACTTACCTTCCTTCCATCCACCAACCCCTCCCATCGTCCCTTCCACCCTTCCCTCCGTGCCTTCCACCCCCCCCCCTCCGTCCCTTCCACCCTTCCCTCCCTCCATCCCTTCCCTCCCTCCTCCGTCCCTCCCTTCCTTCCCTCCGTCCCTTCCACCCTTCCCTCCGTGCCTTCCACCCCCCCCATCCCTTCCACCCCTCCGTCTCTTCCACCCTTCCCTCCCTCCATCCCTTCCCTCCCTCCGTCCCTCCCTTCCTTCCCTCCGTCCCTTCCACCCTCCGTCCCTTCCACCCTTCCCTCCGTGCCTTCCACCCCCCCCCCCATCCCTTCCACCCTCCGTCCCTTCCACCCCTTCCCTCCGTGCCTTCCACCCCCCCCCATCCCCTTCCACCCCTCCGTCTCTTCCACCCTTCCCTCCCTCCATCCCTTCCCTCCCTCCGTCCCTTCCACCCCTCCCTCCCTCCGTCCCTCCCTCCGTCCCTTCCACCCTTCCCTCCGTCCCTTCCACCCCCCTCCCTTACATCCACCCACCCCTCCACCCCTTCCTTCCACCCATATCCCTTCCACCCCTCCCTCCCTCCGTCCCTTCCACCCCTCCGTCCCTTCCACCCCTCCACCCCTTCCTTCCTTCCACCCACCCCTCCCTCTGTCCCTTCCACCCCTCCTTCCACCCATATCCCTTCCACCCCTCCCTCCCTTCCTTCTACCCACCCCTCCCTCCGTCCCTTCCACCCATATCCCTTCCACCCCCCCTCCCTCCGTCCCTTCCTTCCTTCCACCCCTCCCTCCGTCCCTTCCCCCCCCCCCCTCCCTTCCTTCCTTCCACCCCTCCATCCCTTCCACCATCCCTTCCACCCCTCCCTCCCTCCTTTCCACCCCTCCCTTCCTTCTACCCCTCCTTCCACCCATATCCCTTCCACCCACACCTCCCCCCTCCATCCCTTCCACCCCTCCCTTCCTTCCACCCCTCCTTCCACCCATATTTCCATCAACCCACCCCTCCCCTTCCTTCCTTCCACCCCTCCCTCCCTCTGTCCCTTCCACCCATATCCCTTCCACCCCCTCCATCCCCCTTCCACCCTCCTTCCACCCCCCCCTTCCTTCCACCCACACCTCCCTCCCTCCCACCCCTCTACCCCTCCCTTCCTCCCCTTCTTCCTTCCTCCCCTTCTTCCACCAATATCCCTTCCACCCCTCCCTTCCTCCCTTCCACCCCTCCCTTCCTCCCTTCCACCCCTCCCTTCCTTCCTTCCACCCACACCTCCACCCTTTCTTTCTTTCTTTCTTTCTCTCTCTCTCTCTTCTTCCTTTCTTTCCTTCTTTCTTCCTTCCTTCCTTCCTTCCACGCCTCCCTTCCACCCCTCCCTCCCTCCCTCCCAGGGGAGAAGTTGTTGGGGGAGCAATAAAAATGCAGGTCAACTACGAGCTGAACCCCCCCCCCCCCCAAAAAAAATGATCTACAGCCCTTGCTGTTGGCTATTGCGAAGCATGTGGATGCCTAGGGTGCAGGGGCGGACTGACCATTTGGAAACTCGGGCACTGCCCGAGGGCCCGGGGTCAGTAGGGGGCCCCATGAGATGCCCCTGGTACCTTTCATAGGCTTTTTTGAGTTTGGGCAAGGACACAGGGGCCCCATGATCCCCTATTGCCCAGGGGCCCCATGAGTTGTCAGTCCGCCCCTGGTAGGGTGTCATACCTGACAGTGTTTGGTCCATCTGGAGGTCATTCAGGTACATAGTTCAGGACCTTCACAAGGAGGTGGGACTTCTTTAAATGAATGTTTTACTGACACGTATAATTGTTTGATTTATGTTCATGGAGTGTCACATTTATCTAGTTATTTATGTCATTTATGGGTAGGAATTAGTCACTTTGCTGATCCTAATGAGTCTATTTATATTCTGTTTGGGGCACATTCAGTCTATTGGTATCTTTGCGAGGTAATAGCTGGGTTTTCACTTATATTTGTTTTGAGTACTCCACTGTTTTATATTTATATACACAAGAGCTGATTGGCTGACGGGAGCAACCAAAATCATTGAATGGCGTCTTTGGTTGGCTGAAAATCGGGCTCAGTCACAAGGTTGGCTGAGCCAGCAGAGGTGGGAGGAGACTGTCCGTCCTACAGCACCAATCAGCATCAGTCATACCCGATACAGGGAGCTGGCCACACACCACTGGAAGTCCAAACAATTCCTCCATCTACACAAACCACATGGATGGACAAATCTCTCGATTCCGGCAATTCTTCTCTGACAGGACCCTCCCAGTCATCCTCCCCATTCCCACCTAATTCCTCCCTCTAGCCTTGCACAGGTGTACTGGCTCCTCCCCTTCAGGCTTGCGCAGGTGTAGCGGCTCCTCCCCTTCAGCCTTGCGCAGGTGTAGCGGCTCCTCCCCTTCAGCCTTGCCCAGGTGTGGCGGCTCCTCCCCTTCAGTCTTGCACAGGTGTACCGGCTCCTCCCCTTCAGTCTTGCACAGGTGTACCGGCTCCTCCCCTTCAGTCTTGCGCAGGTGTATCGGCTCCTCCCCTTCAGTCTTGCACAGGTGTATCGGCTCCTCCCCTTCAGTCTTGCACAGGTATCGGCTCCTCCCCCTTCAGTCTTGCGCAGGTGTATCGGCTCCTCCCCTTCAGTCTTGCGCAGGTGTAGCGGCTCCTCCCCTTCAGCCTTGCGCAGGTGTAGCGGCTCCTCCCCTTCAGCCTTGCGCAGGTTTAGCGGCTCCTCCCCTTCAGCCTTGCGCAGGTGTAGCGGCTCCTCCCCTTCAACCTTGCGCAGGTGTAGCAGCTCCTCCCCTTCAGTCTTGCACAGGTGTAGCGGCACCTCCTCTAGTCTTGCGCAGGTGTACTGGCTCTCCCCTTCAGTCTTGCGCAGGTGTAGTGGCTCCTCCCCTTCAGCCTTGCGCAGGTGTAGCGGCTCCTCCCCTTCAGCCTTGCGCAGGTGTAGCGGCTCCTCCCCTTCAGTCTTGCACAGGTGTAGCGGCACCTCCTCCAGTCTTGCGCAGGTGTACTGGCTCCTCCCCTTCAGTCTTGCGCAGGTGTAGCGGCTCCTCCCCTTCAGTCTTGCACAGGTGTACTGGCTCCTCCCCTTCAGTCTTGCGCAAGTGTATCAGCTCCTCCCCTTCAGTCTTGCACAGGTGTACCGGCTCCTCCCCTGCAGTCTTGCGCAGGTGTACCGGCTCCTCCCCTTCAGTCTTGCGCAGGTGTACCTGCTCCTCCCCTTCAGTCTTGCGCAGGTGTATCGGCTCCTCCCCTTCAGTCTTGCACAGGTGTACTATCTCCTCCCCTTCAGCCTTGCACAGGTGTACCGGCTCCTCCCCTTCAGTTTTGCCCAAGTGTACCAGCTCCTCCCCTTCAGTCTTGCCCAGGTGTAGCGGCTCCTCCCCTTCAGTCTTGCCCAGGTGTAGCGGCTCCTCCCCTTCAGTCTTGCACAGGTGTAGCGGCACCTCCTCTTCAGTCTTGCGCAGGTGTACTGGCTCCTCCCCTTCAGTCTTGCACAGGTGTAGCGGCACCTCCCCTTCAGTCTTGCACAGGTGTACCTGCTCCTCCCCCAGACTGGAATGGCTTCCTCTGATGTCACTGCACACTGGGAGCTTCTCACAATGTGCATTAGAAGCTGCAGCCAGTCATAGACCTGAATCCTAAGTTTACTGAAAACACAAAAACAATATCAGCACGAGACATTTCTGCCCTCCAGTGAGATGTGTCCCTTGTGCTGATGTGTCCTGCTGTCTCCTGTGTTCCCCCCCACCCCCGTCACTGAAAGCTTCCGATGTGGAGGTGATGGGGAGCTGTGACAGGCACTCATCAAGAAAGTCTGACTATACCCACTTCTATGAATACTAAAGGATCTGTGAATGGAGGAGGGCAGATGATTGCTAGGTCCATCCCCCCTCCATTCGTCGATTGTGCTTCATTTATAGAAGCTGTAGTATGGCTTCTGTCAATGGCGGAGCTTGGTGATAAAGGCGGCCATAGCAGGGGTGGGGGCATTGGAGGAGGAAGATCTCCATGAAGGGAGGACATAGCAGGGGTGGCGGCATTGGAGGAGGAAGATCACCATGAAGGGAGGACATGGCAGGGGTGGCGGCATTGGAGGAGGAAGATCTCCATGAAGGGAGGACATGGCAGGGGTGGGGGCATTGGAGGAGGAAGATCTCCATGAAGGGAGGACATGGCAGGGGTGGGGGCATTGGAGGAGGAAGATCTCCATGAAGGGAGAACATGGCAGGGGTGGGGGCATTGGAGGAGGAAGATCTCCATGAAGGGAGGACATGGCAAGGGTGGGGGCATTGGAGGAGGAAGATCTCCATGAAGGGAGGACATGGCAGGGGTGGGGGCATTGGAGGAGGAAGATCTCCATGAAGGGAGGACATGGCAGGGGTGGGGGCATTGGAGGAGGAAGATCTCCATGAAGGGAGGACATAGCAGGGGTGGCGGCATTGGAGGAGGAAGATCTCCATGAAGGGAGGACATAGCAGGGGTGGGGGCATTGGAGGAGGAAGATCTCCATGAAGGGAGGACATAGCAGGGGTGGCGGCATTGGAGGAGGAAGATCTCCATGAAGGGAGGACATAGCAGGGGTGGCGGCATTGGAGGAGGAAGATCTCCATGAAGGGAGGACATAGCAGGGGTGGCGGCATTGGAGGAGGAAGATCTCCATGAAGGGAGGACATAGCAGGACAAGGAGCACACCTCACTGAAGGTCAGAAATGTCCCTTGTGCTGAATTGTTAAGTTTTGTTGTGTTAGGTAACCTTTGGCTTTAAAGTGGAGTTCAACTCTACAATTTGTTTCAGTATGTTTTTGGGTCCCCCCATTTTCCTGCACAGCCAGGCGACACACATTTCCCACTCTTCCAAAGTCAGTTAACAGTCCATGAGCTTGGTCTTGTCGTTTTATTAGGGTTAAACACCTTGGATGGGGTCTAGGGGTACACGGGGTGCCCAATGGAACTGAAACAACTTGGATGGGGTCTAGGGGTACACGGGGTGCCTAATGGAACTGAAACAACTTGGATGGGTCTAGGGGTACACGGGGTGCCTAATGGAACTGAAACAACTTGGATGGGTCTAGGGGTACACGGGTGCCTAATGGAACTGAAACAACTTGGATGGGTCTAGGGGTACACGGGGTGCCTAATGGAACTGAAACAACTTGGATGGGGTTTGGGGATACATGAGGTGTCCAACAGAACTGAAACAGCTTGCATAGGGTCTAGGGTCATGGGGTGCCCAATGGAACTGAAACAACTTGGATGGGGTCTAGGTTCATGGGGTGCCCAATGGAACTGAAAAAACTTGGATGGGGTCTAGGGGTACATGGGGTGCCCAAGGGAACTGAAACAACTTGGATGGGGTCTAGGGTCATGGGGTGTCCAATGAAACTGAAACACCTTGGATGGGGTCTAGGAGTATACAGGGTGCCTAATGGAACTGAAATAACTTGGATGGGGTCTAGAGGTACATGGGGTGCCCAATGGAACTGAAACAACTTGGATGGGGTTTAGAGGTACATGGGGTGCCCAATGGAACTGAAACAACTTGGATGGGGTCTAGGGTCATGGGGTGCCCAATGGAACTGAAACAACTTGGATGGGGTCTAGGGTCATGGGGCGCCCAATGGAACTGAAACAACTTGGATGGGGTCTAGGGGGTCATGGGGTGCCCAATGGAACTGAAACAACTTGGATGGGGTCTAGGGTGTCTTGGAAATTCGCTTTTAACGGATTTCTCCTTACCGTGAGTACTCGCAGTTGGATGCGCAGCAATCCCCCATAAAGCTGTGCGAGTCACGCTTACCACGACTGCAGCTAAACTCCACGATTCCTGCGCCTCCAACTGGTTTAGCTCCGTTGAGATGTGGGGAAATGGAGCTCCAGTTACCTAGGTATGATCACACGACACTCTCAGGTTGCTGTTGGAATTCACATAGCGAGCGTTTTCATTCTCAGCCTCTGGTTTTATTACAAACACATACACGCACCCCCCCCACGCAGGGGGGGGGGTCAGGTCAATCCCCTCCCACAGAACAATGCAATGGGGAGTGTCTATATACAGAATGTACATCCTGATTGGAGCATAGCCTTTCCTTTTATCTATACTGGAAACCAGTTCTCCCCCCCCCTTTCCCATGGTGAGCTCTCTGTGGAGAGCAGGCTTCCCATCCTATCAGCTCCTAGCAGTATGTCCATTCCTTGTACAAGCATCCCCTAGATTAAACACCAGTCTGTACCTGGATGGGCCGATACGATCTTCATTAAAACACATCCATCCAGATACAGTTCAGGTCGGTAATGGGTTGTAAGATATACATGAGCCTACACGCGGAGTTCGCACTGCTTGGCGCCTTGCGTTACGAAGTCCATGTGGTACTATGCTGCTGATATGTGGATACAGGCCGCGGCCTACCGCCGGCGGCATTCGCATCGAATGTTGGTATACACGCCGGTCTATAAGCGCAGATCTGCCATCTCATCTATTACCGAGCTGAGTACTGTAATACATACATTGTACATGGCATGGCCCAATTGCAGCCTTCAGAGCTTTCATTATACACACCAGAGACATATGAATAACACTCATATATGACACATTTAAAGTTCAACCTGTAAATACAAAATTTCCATGACAAGGGGTACATGGAGTGCCCAATGGAACTGAAACAACTTGGATGGGGTCTAGGGGTACATGGTTTGCCCAATGGAACTGAAACAACTTGGATGGGGTCTAGGGGTACATGGGGTGCCCAACAGAACTGAAACAACTTGGATGGGGTCTAGGGGTACACGGGGTGCCCAATGGAACTGAAACAACTTGGATGGGGTCTAGGGTCATGGGGTGCCCATTGAAACTGAAACAACTTGGATGGGGTCTAGGGTCATGGGGTGCCCATTGAAACTGAAACAACTTGGATGGGGTCTAGAGGTACATGGAGTGCCCAATGGAACTGAAACAACTTGGATGGGGTCTAGAGGTACATGGTGTGCCCAATGGAACTGAAACAACTTGGATGGGGTCTAGGGGTACATGGGGTGCCCAACAGAACTGAAACAACTTGGATGGGGTTTAGGGGTACACGGGGTGCCCAATGGAACTGAAACAACTTGGATGTGGTCTAGGGTCATGGGGTGCCCAATGGAACTGAAACAACTTGGATGGGGTCTAGGGGATCATGGGGTGCCCAATGGAACTGAAACAACTTGGATGGGGTCTAGAGGTACATGGGGTTCCCAATGGAACTGAAACACCTTGGATGGGGTCTAGGGGTACACGGGGTGCCCAATGGAACTGAAACAACTTGGATGGGGTCTAGGGGGTACATGGGGTGCCCAACGGAACTGAAAAAACTTGGGTGGGGTCTAGAGGTACACGGGGTGCCCAACGGAACTGAAACAACTTGGAGGACAAACCTCCTATGTGCAAAAAGCAGAAAAAATGTGATCCAGGACTTTCTTCTCCCTCTGGCTCTTCAACTGTGCAAGACTGAAGTGGAGGCTGCAGGGGGGATTTATAGAGACTGGCACTGAGGAGACCCCACCCCCGATCAGACACAGGACACACCTCTGCTAGGAAATCTCCACCCCTAGGGATGTCATGTCACATGGTAAGCTCCGCCCAGACCACTGACACCACCTACTGCTAAATACAGATCCTCAGCACACAGTCCTTCCTATGAGCACTCAGTCCCCGTAAACGGTCCTTCTTCAGACCACAGATGAAAATCTCCTCATCCACCTGGCTGTCATGAAGAGTATCCCGGGGCATGGGATTCTGAGACACCTCGGTATAATGCCCCAGGGAGAACTGGTTGGGTGAGGCACCTGGATGCCCTCTCCCCTGTAGGCCCGGGGGGGGGGGGGTGTAGAGGTACTCACACTGTCCTGTTCCTGTAAATTTCAGGACTTACACTGGGCTGGCTTCTTCCTAGCTGAAAGGCTGTCATTCCCCAGCAGACTGTGGGACAGTGGAGGTCCTTCTTATCAGCTCCCAGACCCTCCTTCTCTAGGACCCCCTCTCAGGCTCTACACCAGCAGCACTTCCTCACTCCATCTTCCACCCAACTTCCCTGCTGCCCAGGCTTTCTCATATTTATGGGTCGATCTTCGGCACTGCCAGGCCTCCTGCCTGGAATTGGTCAGACTCCCATAAATATGCAGATCAGTCCCTCCTCACCTCCACCCACTGGCTTCTAGAAACCTCTCCAAGTCTCCAGAGCAGAAGGAGGTACCAGAGGACTGACCTGTACAGCCCTCCAGCCCTGACCTAAAGTAACCTGGCTGACTCACGCCCAGGCTTCTAGCAAGCCTCTGACTGTACACCATCAGCACTAGAGGAGGATACAGACAGAGGAGACCACTAGAGTCCGCCATACAATTCTAGCCAGTCAGCACCTTTTTTTTTAACCACTTGGCAACCACGCTATAGCCGAATGACGGCTACAGAGTGGTGTCATATATGA